TTTTCTAACCGCTTAGATTAAATAACTATTATCTAACACTTATATTGTGTATTATCAAACACTTGATAAAATTACGTATTATTCTAATACCCTATTTAATCTTGTCTTTTGTCCTTCCGTATTGTATTAGACTGTATTATTATATATAATCCATCTATTTCTAATATGACAACCAAATGAGTCCATTGAGCATTGAGAAAATATTATCCTTATCCTTTTTTAATTAAAGAGTACTTCACAGTCCCCCTTAGCACTAGACTTTGTTATTTCTTTTTATGAAAAAAGTACTTTAATTTAATATATGTTATATTGTGGTAAACCATATTTTTTTATAGTTTTAAATAATGGGTTGGGTTGGTGCTATGTTTTTAGATGAAAAAGTAAGGTTCGAAAAGTTTCACAAAAAGTTAAGAATTAAAAAAAAATTTCAAGATCGTTTGGAGTGTTCTTTAAAAAAATTAAAAAAGTTTATTCAAAGAGACTTTTTAGTCTTTTGTGAAAAAATAAAAAGTGACATGTATTTATAGATTATGCATAATAATCTCCAAAATATGAATTTTAAAATTTTTTATGCCACCAATAATATTTTATAAAAATAATAAATAAAAAAGTTATGTACAAAACTTCAAAAAGCGGAAAAAAAAAAAAAACTTATAAACTCAACTCCTTGAATTAGTCTAAATAAATTTTTTGAGATCCAAAAAGTTGTTACATAAGCTAGTAAAAAAATCAATATTCAATTGAACTTGACTTATTTTATTCCAAAAAGGTTAAAAGTTACTTGTTTAAACTAGCTCCAAATAACTTTAATATTAGTCCAAAAAAAACAAAAAAAGTTATTTGTGAGCCAGTACTTAATTATGGAAAAGTACTAAGTACAAAATGTTTTGTATAAAATAATATTTTTTTATGATAGAAATACCTACGAGGTAATAATTATATGGCAAAAAAATTAGATAAAGAAATTGACATAAATCATGCAACAATCTCATTAAATTCGGCAATTGATATATCACACAAAACATGAGTTTTCAAAATTTTAAAAAAAAATTTGCTACAAAATCTTTCGTTTTCAACTAAAAAAACAAAAACGTTGAAACACCATTGATGACCGATTTTCTTTTTATTCCAATTCAAATTGCTGATAATAGGACATTACAATGATACATAACAGTGTAACACATTTATTAATTATTTAATCATAGACAAAAAAGTTATGAAATTATATTCACTGATTCATACACAATATAAAATAGTATGCATCATATAATATGACATTACAAATTTGACATCTATATAATAAAGTAGCTTACAATTCAATCTCAAAAGATAAACAAAATGACTTTTACTATTCGCGGTTGAGATCGTTTTAAATTTTACTTTAAAATTAATCTAACGGTTAATATTAAAACTCCAAATTTAATAGGAAAAAATAGGCCCCTAAGGGTGTATTTGGAGTAATTTTTAAAAGTGTTTCTAAGAATTAATTCTCATAAGTACTTAAAAAAATATTATTTTGAACCGTTCCACCACTATTTCTACCACCACCAACCACGACAGCCGCCACCACCACCACTGCTACTGTAAACCCCACCCTTTTATTTTTATATATGTATGTAGGTTTATGTAGCAAGTTATTATTTCTTTTAGAAATGTTAATATGAAAATTCGAGGAAAATCGTAGTTAAAACTTAGTTTAACTTGTAAATATATGAAATCGTTATAACATAACTTGTACCAACTAAGTTTGATGTATAAAAGCATGTTGGATAAGTTTAGGTTGGATTTGAAAAAGTTTGGAATAAGTTTGAAATGAAAAATAAAGGAAATAGGCAAATTTGGACTGGACCTACAGGTAATACGCGATCCAGTGGATCCAAACTATCGGTAGTCAACAGATAGTAAATATCCAATAATTCTGAACTACCAGTAGCTCAACAGGTAACAAGTTGTTAGTGTATCTGAACTACCGGTAGCTCAATACGAACTACCGATAGATAGTTAAAAAGTCGGGATTTTCTGCTTTTAAAACCCCATTTTCACTAAATTTACTCTCATTCTTTTACAACACTCTCACTCTCCACCTCTTAGAACCCTAATAGAAAGACTTAGAGATGAAGAAAGAAGGGGAGAACAAGACTTCTAAAGGGGATTAAAGATCAAACCTTCTTCAAGAACATCAAGGTAAGGGGTTTTGTTCCATTCTTGTCCATTGATGCTAGGGCTAATATATATGTATTCTTTGACTCCAAATCTTATATACTTGCTATGAAATCATCTTTTCTTGATTTTCTTGCAATTATTATCATATTTTACACAAGTTAGGATTGAATACCCATGAAATCTCTTGTTCTTTCTTTAAAATCCTAGTTTTTGGAGAGTGATGGATATTCTTCTTAAATTCTTTCTTTATTATTGATTTCGAAACTATAGTGCTTTGAGTTGAGTACTAAAATGATATTGATGATGATCTCTTGCATTTTATTCAATTGTTCTATTGAAACACTACATGTGAAATTGAGGATTTATGAAATTGTTGTCCTTTGAGGAAATTGTTGGTATTGTATCTCTTGTGTGGTTGTTGGATAAACATGAGTTACTATTGACTGGGTATCTTAGAGTGTGTAGACACTTTTTTACTCCGTGTGGGTTAGAACTTTTCTTACCACTCGTAATGGGGTTAGTGTCTTACGAGAACTAAATCATTATCGCTTACGGGTTATCATGGAAAAAGGAGTTAGTACACTACTCTTTGGTTGGATACGTCACTGTCATGGTATTGACATATACTCTTCCTAAAGGTTGGATATCCTTACAAGGATTTGTATGGATTGTACGTGGGCTATGATATTTTCGATGGTATCCATGCGAGGTCTTACTTCATACTAAAAATACAAATATAGTATTGGGTTATTGTTTATTGTACCAGAAATAGTTTTTACAAAAATTTTGGGAAGTATGAGATTCCATAAGAACTTGGGAGAAACGGTTTATGGTGGAATAGATTATTAGTTTTATATTGGTTTCATTTATGCATTAAATTACTGATGTTACTTAAACTTGAGATCTGTTTAAATGTCCATGTTTTACTGCAAAATTCATATATGCTATTTGCGAAAGGTGACCGACTATTTTTATATATTTTTCTAAATCTTGTTCGAGTTTGGGAGGAATGTTGCTATAGAGATTAGTGCTCACCCCCCCCCCCCTACAAACTACATTTTTTAGATTATGTACTGGAGGAGGATTTGGGAATTGAGGAACCGGCACACTAGGAGATTCCCGTAGACGGGCATGTTAATTCCGAGGTGGACGCTTAGAACAACATTACTTTTTATTCTAGACTAGGAAATTTACTTTGAAAATATTGTGAAGTCTAAACTCTTTTGTAATTTCGCTGCAAGTTTATGTTTAATTCTTTTGGGATCATATTCTTTTGGGGATATATTTGTCATGTTTTGGCATATTCTTTTGGGAACAAGATTGTAAAGATTACCTTTGATGTATGAAATTTTTTTATGTATAAATTATTTAGTTGCTCTCATGATGTAAATGATTTTTAGTTTGTAATGTCGTCCAGGGTAGGTTTTAGAGTGTTACAGCCACCCACCATTGCCACCGCTGTCGCTGCCGCCACCACCACTGCCACCTCCACCTCCATTGCCACCACCACCACCATCGCCTCCACCTCCATCTCCACCACCGTCGTCGTCACCACCACCGCCACCATAATTATTATTGTCTCCTACCACCACCACTACTGTCTACTATTTTTCATCTTAATTACAAACCGATATTTAAATTTATTTATCTTTTTTTTATGTTTGCGATTTAATTTTGGATATGAATACAAATATATTTATTGTTTGTCATTTTTTATTACTTTGTGCCTTCAGGCACAGATAATAACTAGTCTATATATATTGCTTTTAATGAATAACAGTGTTACATTATAGTGTAACATTACAAAATAACATTATTGTTAGATTTGAAAATAACCAAAGCCGTTTAACATTAAAAAATAATATATAAAAAAAAATTTTAAAATCTGGGTCAAACTGTTGAGGTATATTCCATGTGGTATAATTTTAAATTTCAAATATGTTCAATCCTTTAAAATATGAAACTATTAATATAATAAATCAAATCCCATAAAAAATGGGGCTGTCAAACTAATAGACCTTCAAATAAAAAAAAATGTATTTTAGTAAAGAAAAAATTTGAAAATCTGTCAATGAGTATCTAATTACAATACATTTTCAAATTAAAGGGATTTATCTACAAAAGATTTTAGTTAACATAATTTGTCATAAGTAGTTTAAAAGATACCCCGCTCACAATTCTTCCGAAAAAAAAATAGGTTTAATAACAATATTTCTTACTAATTTTTATTTCATTGGATCACATGATGCTCGTATGATATTTTTTTTTAGAGCAATGTTATAGAAATTTAAAAACTTGACTTGATGATGTGGTTATATTTGTCATTAAATTAACGGTAGGTATTAATATTTTTTAGGACCCACTATCTGTTCAATAATAATGATTATTCATCAAATCAAGTTTTTAAATTAGTTTTTAGTCTATTTATCATTTTTTTTTAATTATTGGAAGAGATTTAATAATTAAAAATTCTCAATTGATAGATAGAAATAAATGAAGACATTAAAGATATTAACTACTCATTTATCATTTATTTAATTTAATCATTGAAAGAAAAAGAATGCGAGAGAAAGAGTGGTTTTCAGTTGCAAATAATATGTGATGTGAAAATAAGAAAAGTGGTGCCTATTTCGGTAATTTTGCCAAAAACCACGACACCCTCTCACAGCTCTAATCCCTCGCCTTCTCTCTCTCTCTCTCTCTCTCTCTCTCTCTCTCTCTGCTGCTCAAACCATTACGTACTTACTCTAACCTCTCGCCTTCACTTTCTTCACGTCTCTCTCTCTCTCCTCTCTCTCTCTCCGGCCATTTCTAGTTTAGGGCTTCCAAGGTTTAGTATGGGTGGTGGTGGCAAACGAAGCGTCGTCTCCGACGAAGAAGAAGGTAAGCCAGATTCAATATCATGTCTTAGTGATTTCAACTCTCTTTCTCTCTCTCTCTCTCTCTCTCTCTTTGAAGATACAAGGAATAAGATTCATTCACTGTTTCTCAATGTATATATTCATCATATATCTGTGTGTATTTATATGTACTTATAGAAAATAATGCTACTCTTTCTAAACAAGGGTGTTGAACCTTGTACAGAAGAAGTGGAAGAGGTTTATGGAAAGACTGTAGATGACGAAAGCGACAACGAAGAAGAAGATGGTAATAATGGGTTTTCTCCTTCAACCTAAAGGGTTTACTCTTTGAATCCTTTTAGTTCTTGATGATGATCTTTTTTCGCATCTTGTTTTTCTTCTAATTATTTTTATGATTTTTTTATTTTCATATCATTGTTCTTTCTTATTGTTTTGGTGATTATAAATATATTTAGTGATGATTTTCACAAGGTTTTGTACGGAGACACAAGGGTTTTATTATGAATGTTTTTCTCATCATCTTCTCTCTCTATATACATATATAAATATATGTAGTATTGTAGTGCTGATTTCCACAAGGTTATGTACGGAGACACAAGGGTTTTTATGAGGGTTTTTCTCATCATCTTCTATCTCTCTATATACATATATATGTTCACTGTTATATTAAGTATTTTATGTTATATAGATCGTTTGAGCCATTCAAGGTATTATGTTATGTGGATTTTCTGGCTCATGACTTCTATTTGAGATCGGAGTGTCTCTCACATTTTACAAGGGTTTTCATGCTTAATTTGTACTCTCTTTCTCTCTCAGTAGAGAAGTGCTTTTCCTATATTTGCATTTTTTTTTTGTTTTTGTTCTGAGATCCAAGTGTTTGTGACGGTCATTGGGGGCTTGATTTTTGGTTGATGAGCCCTTTCTCTTAATCTTTTATTAATAAATTTGATTTTAAGCTTTTTCTAATAACTATGACCTTCTCTCTTTCCGTCTTTGCGTGTGTGTGTGTGTGTGAGAGAGAGAGAGGGGGGGAGAGTCTGTCTCACACACTCTATCTACAAAACACTTGTAGTTTGTTTATTTGTTTGTTGACAACCGATTTCTTTTGATTTTATTTGATATCTTTTTACCCTTTTCATCTATTACACTGGTAGTCTGGTAGACTCAGAGGATGCTCCACAGGTACTTTGCTATTTTTATACCGTTGAGTGTGGTGGAATTTAAATTGTTTTTCAACACTTTTCCATTTTCATGTTTTACATTCTGAAAAGTTCAGAAGAGTTACAGAAATTGTTCCTTTTTTCTTTTGTTGACTTGTCTTCCAAGCTTTATGTCATTTGGATAGTATTTTATTATCATTAATTTTTAAAGATATTTTTCTGGTGTTGAGCAGAGGAGGGTCAGGATGAATACCAGAAAGATGGGTTTATAGTGGACGATGAAGAGGAAGAAGTGGGAGAGGAAGAACAAGATGAGGGAAAGAGCCAAAAAAAGAGGAAAAAGAAGAAAAGGTAAGTTCATACCCATCAACCTTCCAATGCAATTCACTTTCTGAGAAACACAGTTTTTAATGTACTTCGAATACCATTAACTCACGTTGTAATGTTCTCTCAATACCCCCACATTCAGAGATTCTCAGAAGAACTTTGAGTTGGATGAAGATGACTATGAGCTGCTTGAGGATAACATCTCAGGCTTTCATCGACCTAAGATGGTAAGTCTTCTTTGTCATCTTTCTAGGCCATTAGAAACTAAAATGTGTTTTTTTTTTTTTTTGCGGGCGTGGTAATTATTCTGAGTGTATTTTGTTCTCTGATCTGATGTCAATGTAATACTGGTTCATAATATCTTTACTGGGTTGTATATTTATGTGCAATTTCTTTAGGCTAATCCAAAGTTTAAGAGGCTCAAAAGAGTTGGGAAGGATACTGAGAAAGGGGTCTACAAAAGCTTATTTGATGATGATGATGATGATATGATTGGTAATCTCTTGATCCTGAGTCAAAATGATATCATTAAATTGATGGGTTTGATGCTTGATTGTTATTCTCTTTCCACGGTATCTTCCTGAAGATATTGCTGAAGAAGAGGAGAGACCTAATGAAGAACAGATGGTTGTTGATGAAGAGGATGACATGGCAGATTTTATTGTTGATGAAGAAGAAGAAATGCAAGTGGGTGGAGCATCTATGAGGTAAGCTTTGGCTTCCAATCGTCCTTGGAAATTTATTCATCGGCTTATTAATGTCATTTTTCTATGGATAAAACACATTACTGATACTTAAGTATGTGTATCATACCACTTTGATTCTTATTTTTTTTAAGTTTTATCACTTTAATCTCAAGTTGGCTAGGAAGATGTAATTTTTGTTTCCTTTGTTTTTGACTCCCTAGACAAAGAAAGCAGCCGAAGTTGAGGCAGCTTTCTGGAGTGTCAACGGCTGCATTGGCTGAGGCTCAAGACATATTCGGTGATGTTGATGAATTCCTTGATCTTCGGAAGAAAGGTCTTGCAAGGAGTGACATTCATAGTGATTCTGGGAGGGGGAGGAGGAACCTTGAAGATGAATATGAGCCATCCATCCTGGTGGAGAAGTATATGACTGAGAGGGATGATCGAATAAGGCAAATTGACCTGCCTGAGAGGATACAGGTGACTTTATTTTGTTGCTAATTATAATGGCTTTATTTACTTTAATTTCTTACTAAATGTAACGGTAATTTAAACTGCTATACTCGATGATAATGATGATACAGTATCACTATCATGGTGTCACTATTATATTGTGTAATTTTTTCTTGAGTGGACTTTCTCTACCCTGAAATTTTACAATATTACCCTTGTTTCAATCTATGTTATTTAAAATAATGTTTTTGTATAACAAGTAAATTAAAAACCACAACATATAAGCCATAATTTTTTTTCTTTTTTCACAAAAAGGATGCTACTATGGTATTGATTCATCGTCATCCTCCATTTCTGACTTCTAGATATCGGAGGAAAGAACTGGGTCTCCCCCAGTTGACGAAAGAAGTATAAGAGAGGAGAGTTCTTGGATACATAATCAGCTTCCTACCATATCATGGATTTTCAAGAAGATAGATACAGATGGAAATGTTGAAGAGCCGGACCTGTTAAGCAAAATTGACAAGGAAGACATCATGAGGTTCTTGAAATTGCATCATGTTGATAAGCATGACGTGAGTATTCACAACCTTATATTTTTTTATAACAATATTCCTTATGCTATTTTATTTATAACTTCAATGCAAATTGTTTATGGTTTATCTTCTAGATTCCGTTCATTGCCTTGTATCGAAAGGAGCTGTGCCTTAGTTTATTGAAAGACCCAGGGGAAGAAGAGGCAGAAAATGGAGATAGGGACAGACCTGAGAAGAAACCCAGACTAAAATGGCACAAGGTATTTTGGTGTAGAATTGATAAAACTAATGGGAATAACATGCAAAGACTAAAATCTTTGTATGTTTTGTATTATTTTATTTTTTGTTCTTTCAACTGTGTCACTTTAGTCGAAGTAAAATTTAAGTTGGAATCATAGGGAGATCATCACTACATTATAAAATTGAGGATTTAAATGACAAATTATAAATTTACAGAATAAAAGTGACCTCCAAATGTGATATCTTTAGACCATCATTTGCACTTGGACTGAGGTGACACTCAATGGACAATGGATCAAATAAAACGGTAGTACTATGTTTTATCCCCCTGAGAATAAACAATGGTTTTTGCAGTTACTATGGGCCGTGAAGAACTTGGACAGAAAGTGGCTGCTTCTTCACAAGAGGAAAAGTATTCTTCAGTCCTGCTACAAAAAGCGTTATGAAGAGGAGTCCCGTCTAATATATGACGAAGAAAGGCTCAATTTAAACCGGCAGCTTCTTGAATCCATCATTAGATCACTCGACCATGCTGATTCAGAAAGGGAAATAGATGATGTTGACTTAAAATTTAACTTGCATTTTCCTCCGGGTGAAGTGGGTGTTGATGAAGGCCAATTCAAGAGGCCAAAGAGGAAATCACTATATAGTATTTGTAACAAAGCTGGCCTATGGGAAGTTGCAGGCAAGTTTGGGCCAAACGCTGAACAATTTGGGTTGCAAGTAACTCTAGAAAAAGTGGTAATCTCCCTCTCTAGTCTTTGTATTTATGGTTTTTTGTTTAGAGCAATGATGTGAGTTGCGGCTTTATGTAGCTATGTCAATGAGTGTATCTGGTCATGTAAAGTTTTTTCTAATTCATACTAGATTGAATTATAATCGCATACTAGACTCATTTACGATCATTACAATCATATACGGTTCAGTTTTCTAGTGTATAAATCTTGTTTGCTAAGTTTCTGTCGGCCCCATTATGTAACTGGTCTAATTAGTTCTTTCATTCGCATCGACCCTCAAAAATTAAATCTAAATCCACTAATTTTGTATTGATTGGCTGATGGTGTCTAACTTTTATACATGATTGTAGAATATGGAGTTGTCAGAAGACCCCAAGGAAACCCCCGAGGAGTTTGCTACAAATTTTACATGTTCATTGTTTGAAACTCCTGAAGCAGTTCTGAAAGGGGCTAGGCACGTGGTATGAACCCATTTTTTGTATCTTCCCTGCTTGCTTAATGGTTTGCTTTCTTTATCATTGTTTTTGATTTCTTGTTTCCTCATCTAGGCTGCAACGGAAATCAGTTGCGAGCCGTCTTTTAGAAAACATGTCCGCAGTATTTTTATGGAAAAAGCTGAAGTAACAACAAGACCCACACCGGAAGGAAACATGGCTATAGATTCTTTCCATCAGTTTGCTGGTGTCAAATGGCTTCGGGGCAAGCCACTCTTCAAATTTGAGGATGCCCAGTGGTTGCTTATTCAAAAGGCTGAAGAACAAAAGCTCCTTCAAGTTGCAATAAAATTGCCTGAGAATGAGCTAAACAAGTTGATAGAAGAGTCTAATGTTTGTTATCTGAGCGATGGTGTTAGTATCTCAGCTCGTTTATGGAATGAACAGCGCAAACTTGTACTGCAGGATGCATTTTTCAAGTTTCTTTTCCCTTCTATGGAGAAGGAAATATGTGCCATGTTGACTACTAGAGCAAAGGACTGGCTGGTTATAGAATATGGACATCAGTTATGGAACAAGGTATCCGTTGCACCATTTTGTCGTGATGGAGATAAAGATGAAGCTGCACCAAGGGTCATGGCTTGTTGTTGGGGTCCTGGCAAGCCAGCAACCACTTTCGTGATGTTGGATTCATCAGGGGAGGTGCTGGATGTTTTGCTTGCGGGATCTCTCCACCTACGATCTCAGAATGTTATTGATCAGCAACGAAAGAAGAATGACCAGGAACGTCTCCTCAAGTTCATGAATGCCCATCAACCGCACATTATGGTTCTAGGAGCTGTGAATTTGTCTTGCACCCGGCTGAAGGCTGAGATCTTCGAGGTATAAGCCTTTTGTCACCCTGTTCCATTCTTTTGTAGTTTATTTTTGTGCGACAGAGGATGAGTTAGCTTGGGTTAAAGCTGTCCATCCTTTATTTAGAGGTTCAGGACCATGTCCTTGCACTTCCTTGAACATTGAAGATTGATTATTGAACTAACCCCAATATGCAATGATGAATTGATGATGGTTGGCGTTGGAAGGATTATTTAAATTTAAATTTTTTATACTGGAACTACAAAATGATATATTAATCAATCCGTGGTTGTTGGGATAGATTAAAATTTGTTAAATCTTAGGAACGTGTTTGGCAAGATACTTCTGCATTCATATTTTGCATCTGGAGGACAGGTTTTTTTCTATTGATGAGTTCATTCTGATGTGTCATCGGTTAGCAAACATAGATTGCAGGGGTATAGCCGGGGATGATATTTTTTGTTTATAAGTGGCCAGTTGCCTTGAGTGAATCATTCGTTAGACATCTTGCGTATGCCAACTTTTGAAGAAGTTGACATTTTGTTTGTTATGGAGGGATTATGTACGCTTAATGAAGAAATTTGGATATCTTTTCTTGCTCGTTTAATTATTTGGGTTAGAAAACTTGAAATGAAACGACAAACTTGAAACAAATTTATCACTATTTCAGCTTTACTTTATTCCCTTCTTCATTGTCACAAAATTTTAAATTTATTTAATAACTAAATGTATCAAGTTACAATAATTCTAAAAACGATTTCAAAGAACTGCGAACTCTGGCTTAGGCTTTTGGGTTCACCAATTGATTAGGCTCATAGGAAAGATTCATATTTTGGAGGAAATGAAAGATGTTTGCCTTGGGGCTCACTGCCTTGCGAGTCTCAGAACAAAAAACAAAATTAAAAAACTTTTGGGGAATACCCTTGAGGCTGAAATAGCAAAGCACCGCTTAGATTTGTTCAATTTATTGAGAAGCTTCAATGTGTCAATTTGTTAATAATTAAGGACACATTACTGCATCACATTGCTTGTGGTTTGACCATCCACATGCATTGTTTTTGGTGGTTTCTTCTCAAATATTCTTGAAATGCTTGGTAGCTCAAAACTAATTACAAGTGTTTTTTTTTATTTCACATATGCTTTTCTTTTTCCCTTCTACTCTTTTTTTGTCCTACTCCAATTTATTGCGAATAATTGATATATTTTCCTTTAATTTTTGTGTCTATTCTCAAGTTTAATCCCCATTTCCGGATATTTGATAGTTGGCCTTTAAGGCTCTCATGAAGCTCTATTCACTCCTTTCCTAATATTTTCTTGTTTTCATAGGTGTACAGACAACATACTTCTGAAAATAGGGTTGGTAACCATCAAAATAAGATCAAAAGAAAAACTTAGGCTGTAGCTTTTGTTTTGCATTAAAAAATGCCCCCCAAAGATTGTCAAGAAGGATTCCGCTATCTAGTAATTCTTGCCTAATACATCTATCCATTGTCCTTTCTATAAGGATTTATGATATCTCTTAGATACTCTTCAGGTGGAAAAAATTAGATTTTGCCCCATAAAAGGCCCAAATACTGATCATGTACTTCACTTTAATTTTAATGCTAGCTCTGCTTCACATGTCAGAGAAAGTTGTGGTTATTTTGAAGATTGTTGTTATCATCAATCATCATCTAGAATACCAATTAGTTCAAGCTGTTCTTTTTTGTCTGATTTTATTGCTCCATGAGGTTAGTTGTCATTATTTAGTTGTTTTTATGTTGAAGGGAGGGGGTCTGGCGGTTGCTTTACCTAACAGCGTGTATGGTTGAATCATCTGTGCTGGTTGTAGAAGCTTGTATGTTATACCAATGGCATACCCTTCTCATATGTTATGGACATTGGGTTGTACGTTCTTTTCCATCATAGACAACCACTTTATGTTTTTTAAGAAAAATATACCGGCAAACCTAATGATTCTCTGATGCTGCTTCTTCTTCTTCATCAGATCGTTTTTAATATAGTGGAGGAAAACCCTCGAAATGTTGGTCAAGAAATGGACCAAATCAACATTGTTTATGGGGATGAGTCCCTGCCTCATCTTTATGAATATTCACAGATTTCTTCAGACCAGCTGCCTGGACAATCTGGTATACAAACTTCCACAGATTTTTTTTAAAAAGTTTTTGTGATCAGTTATTATAGTAAATGTGTCATTCATTTGCAGGAATTTTTAAGCGAGCTGTGGCTCTTGGCCGTTTTCATCAAAATCCAGTGGCTATGGTAGCATCACTATGTGGTGCAGGTAGAGAGATAGTGTCCTGGAAGGTTAGCTCCTTGGAGCACTTTCTTACATCTGATGAGAAGTATGAGATGATTGAACAGATCATGGTAGATGTCACCAACCAGGTGGGTATTGACATTAACCTGGCTGCATGTCATGATTGGCTGTTTTCGCCTTTACAATTCGTCTCCGGGCTTGGTCCGCGGAAGGCAGCTTCTCTGCAGAGGGCATTGATTAAAGCTGGGGCAGTTAGAAATCGAAAAGAGTTGACTGGCCACAGGCTAAGTACAAAGAAGGTCTTTATAAATGCAGTTGGATTCTTACGTGTCCGACCAAGTGGGCTGATGGCTTTTAGTGATGACATTGATCTTTTGGATGATTCAAGAATTCACCCAGAGTCTTATGCTCTTGCAGAGCTTTTAGCTAAGACTGTACATGAACATTATGCTCCAGGATATGAAGATGATGCTGAACAGGAACTAGCAATTGAGTATGTCAGAAGCAATCCAGGACAGCTAAAAAGTTTTGATATTGATCAGTATGCAGATGACAATGGGATGACAAATAAAAAGGAAACTCTTCGTGGTATAAAATTGGAATTGCTCCATGGTTTTCAAGATTGGCGTAAGCCTTTTGCAGAACCAACTGCGGATGAGGTCTTTTACATGATATCTGGTGAAAATGAGGATTCACTTGCTGAAGGAAAGATTGTTCATGTAACAGTGCGCCGAGTACAACCCCAACGAGCAATATGTGTGCTTGAGTCGGGTTTAACAGGGATGCTTTCAAAGGAAGACATTTCAGATGAAGGAGATGAATTCGACTTGGCAGAGAGGCTACATGAAGGCGACACACTTTCTTGCAAGATTAAGAATGTCCAAATGAATAGATACCATGTTTTTCTTACTTGCAGAGGAATTGAGTTTAAGGGAAGACAACTCCAAGATATGCATCATGCTGACCCCTATTACCACGAAGACAATGGTGCATTACCTTGTCAGCAGGACAAAAACCACAAGGACAAGGATCTCGTGAATAAACAATTCAAGCCACGGATTATTGTTCATCCACGTTTTCAAAATATGACTTCTGATGAAGCAATAAATGTAAGCTATTTTCAATGCAATAATCTGTTCACATAGATTTATTACTCTGGCACATGTAACTCCCAAGTGCTCATGTGTTGATCTGTATTTTTTGATTAGTTCCTCTCTGATAAGGATGCTGGTGCAAGCTTTTTTCATCCAAGTTCAAGAGGCCCGTGTTATCTGACTTTGACAATGAGAATCTATGATGGTGTTTATGCTCACAAAGACATCACAGAATGTGGGAAGGACCACACGGATGTCACAAGCTTGCTTCGTATTGGGAAGATTCTTAAAATTGGTGATGAAACTTTCGAGGATTTGGATGAGGTTAGACTATTTGCTGCAAGATTTATGCTTTGTTGCTTACTACTTCATTTCATTCTTCACTTATTCAGTGCATGTGTTTATGAGTGAGAAATTCGTCTTGCGGTGCTCAGAAATTGAGTTCACATCTTTTGGTCATGTATATATATTTATGTATATATGTATGTAAATGTTTTAAGATCTGATTTATCCTTTCTAGGTCAATGGTGAAATAAAGAACTATGTGATTTTATCTGCTGGACTCCCACCCAGTATGGGACACAAAATATATGCATGTTTATAATTAGTGGCCACAAGTACGTAGCAAATATTCAAAGATGGGAATGCTTCATTATGACCTAAAGTGAATAATCATCGTGATAACAAGCAGTCTATCGTATATTCATTTTTGCATGTTGACTGGAAGGATGTACTTTTATATTTCTAAGGATTTTAAGCAATTTGGTTTCTTCTTGAACTGTTCTCGGTTTCTATTGTGCAAAAATTAGGTAATGGATCGCTATGTTGACCCATTGGTAAGTAACTTGAAAGCAATGCTTAATTACCGGAAGTTCAAGAGGGGCTCAAAGGCAGAAGTAGATGACCTTCTTCGAGCTGAGAAATCTGATTATCCAATGAGGATAGTTTATGGTTTTGGTGTTTCATATGAGCATCCTGGAACTTTTATCCTGTCATATATTAGAAGTACAAATCCACACCATGAATACGTTGGTCTATACCCCAAAGGATTCAAATTTCGGAAGCGTGCATTTGATAACATTGACCAGTTGGTGGCATATTTCCAGAAGCATATTGATGATTTACAGCATGTGTCAACACCATCATTCCAATCAGTTGCTGCAATGGTACCAGTGAGAAGCCCTGCATTCAAGGGTTCTCCTGGAGGGGCACCTATGAGGAATGATTGGGGAGGCCAATCTAATTTGGACAAAAACAAATCTGCAACTGATTCTAGAGGTAAGCATTCTGCTTAATTTTCTCGGAGTTTATAGTGTCTTGATATTTTAGTTCTATATGTATTTTCCGACTATGAAATAGCATAACTTGACAGCATCAATACTAGTGAAATGCAATACAACAGTGGCTTGCGCACATGCCCCCTGGGCAGCACTGGAAACTCAGTCCCAGAACAGACTTAAATTTAGTTGCTCCATCATAGCATTATCACAAATTTGGGGAGCCAATCAGCCAAACACTTGGGAGGTTGAAAATTGATCAAAATGATAAGCTTCTAATAATTATTCTATACTCTACAGTATGCATATTTCTATCAATATATACAAATCACCCAGGCAGAAAACAAAATGGTGTGCTATGTGGAGTGGGCCTACAGTTCTGATTTGCCAATGCTTTTACCATGTACAACTAATTAATTGGATAATATATTCCTAAATTTCGCTCACTTCATTGGATACATACACCTAATTATTCTTGCATGAATAATCTGTAAAAAAGAATCAAGTTGTATTGGTCATAGTCTCCCCCTGAATAATGTCTCTGTGTGATATCACATATGACCTGAAATTGGCTATCATGCGTAGGTACCAATTTGGATAATCAATTTATTTGGTGGTTTTGGATAGGATGAATAGCTCCAATACATATAAAATGGCCTTGTGGCTAACAAAAAGGAAAAAAAGGAAAGAAATTCTTGTCACTGTACTAAGGGTTTTCAATTCCTTTGATATATTGACTGCTGCATTCATTAAATCATAGTATAAAAATCCTAGGAACTTTAATTCATGAAAATCGATTACTGAAGTGCTGGAAAACTGCTTTTCCTTTTCCTTCTTTCTTTTGAATGAACTGCACTATTATGTTGCTGTTGAATTGTAATCCCATGCTTGTCTTGTGAACAACACACATTCACATTATTTTGGAGACTTGTATCCAAATATGATATCTTATACACCTTTTTAAATCTTTGATCTTTTTTGGTAGAGCAGGCAGAAATGATTATAAAGCTGATGGTGATCATGGGCATCCAAGTGGGTTGCCTAAGCCTTATGGTGGGCATGGGCATGGGCGTGGAAGCAATCATGGTTCTAACTGGGATAACAAGGGCAGTAGTGAGAGAAAAGATTGTGGTTACGGTATCACTTCCACATGGGGATCAGATTCAAGGGAAAAAGGTGGAAGTGATACTGGGTGGGGCAATTTTCCTGGTGCCATGGTTGAAAATTCACCTACCAAAGAAGCTTTTCAAGGTGGCTGGGGAAGAGGTGGAAGTGGTGGAAATTGGGGTAGTGTAGGTGGTAGTAATGGTGGTTGGGGTGGCAATCATGCTGATGGGAGGTCTAGTGGTGGCAATTGGGGCGGTGGTGGTGGTAATACTTGTGGGACTGCTAGCAGTGGCAATTGGGGATCTGGTGGTAGTGCTAGTGGTTGGGGTGGCAGCAGTGCTGATGGAGGTGGCACTAGTGATGACAAATGTGGTGTTAGTGGTGGAGGTTGGAGGGCTAGTGGTGGCCCGCAGGGTAGCAATGGTGGCTGTGGCCGTGGCCGTGGTTCTCATTATGGTCAGGATAATAATAACAGCAATGAGATTAAAGACTCTAGTTTTCATACATCTTCCGCATGGGGTACAGATTCCAAGGGGAGGGCTGGAAGTGATGGAGGGTGGAGCAATTTTTCAGGTGCCAAGGTCCTGAGTTCAGCCAATAACAATTGGAATGGTGGAGGTGGTGGAGGTACCGGTGGTAATGCAGGTGGTTGGGGAAGCCGCATTGGAAATGGGAGTACTGGTGGTGGCAAAAGCCAAGGAGCGTGGAGTGCTAGTTTAAGTGATCAAGGTGGTGATGGTGGGCAGGGTCGTGGGTGTGGGCGTGGACGAGGAAGAGGACGTGGCCGTAATAGCTGTGGCGATTGCAGCACAAATGAGAGAAAAGATTTTAGTTATGCCACAAGTTCGAAGTGGGGATCAAATTCCAACGAGGGGATTCGAATTGGACGGAACAATTTTCCGGGTGCTAGGGTACAGAATTCGCCAAGCAAAGAAGCTTTTCCTGGAGATTGGGGCAGCAGAAATGGTATTGCAGATGGTGGAAATGGTGGCTGGGGTGGCAGCACTGGGGGTGGTGGTTGGGGTGGTGATGGGAAAGGAACTGGTGATAATTGGGGTGACATCAAAAGTGCTGATGCCCAACGTGCTAGTGGTTGGGGTGCTGGTGGTGGTTATGTCAAAGAAGGGAGTGGTGGTTGGGGAGATAAAAATAACAATGGTGGCTGGGGTGGCAAGAGTGTTGGCTGTGGCAGCAATTGGGGTGATGGTAGAAGTGTCGATGGCAAAAGTCAGAGTAGTTGGGCTGCTGGTAATGCAAATAACAGCAAAGGCATAGGGTCTTCTGGTGGTTGGGGTGATAAGAGCAATGGTGGATGGGGTGGCAATGCTGGCACTGAGGATGCCGTTAGCAGAGGTGGTGATAGTGATGGTTGGGGGGTGAAGAGTGGGACTGCTGATGGTAAAGGTGAGTGGGATTTTGCTATATCCAAGAATAATGCTAATTCTGTTGGGGAGACAAGAAATTCAGGATGGGGTGCTGGTTCTGGAAAAAGTAGTTCCATAGTTCCTGGTGGTGGTAGGAGAGGGCCATCTGCAAGTGGCGGCAGTGGGTGGTGAAGTAAGTCAGTCTTTTAGTATTTCTTACAATTTGTGTAAGTCTGTTATATATTAACTTCCTCAGTCAGGCTTACTTAGACAAACTTTAGTTATACTAACTTCTTAATTAGGTTGTTTCTTTTCAAGAAAGCACAGTATGTATTTGGCTCACCACAATTCGGTGGTCAATATACATTTAGCCTTTTGTTGGACAAAAACACATTCTTATGCTGCTGATTGTTGGTGATGCTTCAATGATTTCTGTGTGTGATAGGAATGTTATTGAAATAATGCTTCGGGCCAGTGTGCAGACACCATTGAGCCAAACCTCTGCACAGATATTTCTCTTTAGTATTGTTGGTTTGCTTGTATTTTCTCTATCGAATTTGATTGTTTTAAGGAAGTTTCTAGCCATTTGAGGCTTTTTTTTTACTGTTTACTTTTCCTTAGCCATTTGCTCTTGAATATAGAAAGGGGCCTAAAATAGTCACATATGCAATACCAAATAATTTAGGTGATTCTCAATAGATTTCATAATGTTGCAGACGTTGTTATTTGTATTCAGAAAATTATCTGTGACGTCAAATGTGTCCTGGTCAGCCTCCTGCTATGAAATTGTTTGAACTGCTTTACAAAGTTCTCTGCTCACACACACACACACACACCATATAAATATTCATATGCTCCTTGTATGGGATAAATGTGGGCAACATTCTGTGCAAGTGTTTGTTTTGTTCACTGAATGTTGTCAACAGACTCAAAACCACACAAATGTTTTGTTCCTGTTTGCACAATTTTTACAATGGAGGGGTTTGGCCCCTCTATAGTTATGAACTGGTTAGTAGATCTTCCGAAAAATTTTGAAGGGCAGCCAAATATGACTATGAACTTGATGAAAATTGTATCATCTTGCTGCTGAAATCTGAATAAAATTGAAATGCTCGAGGACTGAAGATGGAGAGATACAGTGCAAGGAAAAGGCCTACATACTTTACTGAAGTCCAAAGTTTTTTTTTGGTTTTTGTTTTTTTGTTTGTTCAGCAAACTGGGGTGTTTGAACTAGTTTATGAGCACCTTGACTAATTCTGTCTTGAGTGGGATCAAAGTCCAAAGCTTTCAAAGTATTGTTCACAAGGTCACACAAGAAAACAAGGACCCTAATTAAATTTAGGAAAAATTACACTCAAGCTTCTTGAGATTTATTATTTAATCACTTAAACTCTTTAACATTTGAAATATTATACACAACCTTCTTATGTTTGTACGCGTGTAACACATAGACCCTATCGCTAATGTTCATTAGTATATCTGTTAGTAAATTACATTTAGATCTATGAAATTTGAAGCGTGTAATACTTAGATCCCTCAAGTTTAAAATATTACACTTAGACCAAAAATATTCTAATTAAAGATAGAATATCATATATTTTAAATTTTACAACAAAAATTCATGTTCTATTATATCATTTATTGAAATAAAATCAAATTTTAAAATTTAATTTTTTCTTTAAAAAATCATAATTATTACTTTGATGCAAAAATGTGGATGACCTCCACATTAGTTTATTGGACTTTGATCACCTGAAAAAGAAATCGGAGACAAAAAAAGATCTGAGAGTTGAATCTCTGATGCCTAAGCCAATAAGTGACTCAAATGTATGAACTACATTTAGAAGCTAAGAGTGACATGCTTGGAATATCTTGGACTAAATGGACTTTTTGACTTGGGTTAATTTTTCCATCATCATGTACAAACATATGAAATGAGCTGAATCAACAAATTTGTATGTTCCATTAAATTATCCATTAACATAAAACCCAAATAAAATTTCAATTTTTTCAAGGAAAAAGTAATAATCAGTATAAATATATCAAATAACTCAATTCAACACTCATTTGCATACAATTACACCATCTATTAGAATAAAAGTAAAAAACCAAACAAGGGGTCAAATTGTAATTGGGGGCAAATTAATCTTTTAATAGATTTCGTTAATTCCGTAACTAAAGGGGTTTAAGTGTAATATTTAATAATTGAGATATCTAAGTGTTATATGCCTATAAATTTTAGAGGGTATAGATGTAATTTACTACTGAACATATTAATGGACATTGACGACAGAGATTTAAGTATTACATGCATACAAATCTTAGGAGGTGTCAATTATACTATTGAAATTGTTAATTTATATGCTAAAATAATATAAATTTTTGTAACATTATATATATATATATATATGAATTCACACATAGTAGAAAACACACATTTTTAACTACTTTCTTAATAAACTAGTAATAACCCATGTTTTCAGACATAGTGCTGCATAAAATTTGAGCGTCCAAAATTAAATAGCAATTTTTGTTCTTCTTCTTCTTCTTTTTTAATTACATAATTTGAAATTAATTTTTATTTTTAAAACAAAAAATATTTTTTTTCAAAATACATTACTTTAAAAAAATATCAACATTTGTATACTATGATACATGAACAATAATCGAAATAAAAATTGTATGGAGTCACGAATTTATCAAAAATTAAATGATTCACCTTGTGAAATAAGCGAGTTATGTGATAAAAATAAAAATAAAAAATTGAAATGTCTAACTCCCTTATTATATAGAATATAAAATAAAAGAGTTATTTATGGTACCCAAAAAAAAATTGGTACTATACTTCTATTTACCATATTTGTGGATATTTTACCATTATTGGAAATATTTTTACCACTATTGTGTTATCAAAAAATGGTACAAATAATTATCATAACAGTAGTAAAAACACCTATAAATATGGTAAATTACATTTAAAATGATAATTATTTTTGTACCGAATAAAAGTGGTAAAAATAATTACCACAACAGTGGTAAACTATCCACAAAAATGATAAATTTTTTAATTGTAAATTGACCCACAAAATTATAAAATATTAATTAAAATAATAAATTTTAGACGTATAATATTATTTTTTTTGTTCATACTATAGTCAAGTCCTAAATATATGAAAATATATTTTTGTTCGTACTATAGTCAAGTCCTAAAGGTTCGTTTGGTTAGGAAGAAAAAAAATGATGGAAAGTGAAAATGATAGAAAGTGAAGTGAAAGAAAAAAAAATGATAGAAAATATATTTTTATGCATGTATTTGGTTAAAATGAAAAATTTATAGGAAAATTTTAAAAAAAAAAATATTTTATTGTTTGAAAGAAAGTAAAGTTATAAGAAATTTTTTATAATTGTCTAAATTACCCTTAATTATATTAAATTAGTCTAAAAAGGAAAAAAATATATGTAATTACAATTGAATGTTAATTTTTTTTTAAAAAAAGTAACTCGAAACCTAATTTTAAGACAATCACAAACACAAAGGTCTTTGAGCCAAATTATATAATTAATCAAATTCATACCAATTTTTTTTTAAAATTAATAACTAATAAAATATTTTAAGAAAATAAGGGTAGAATGGAAAGTTAGCTATAGATCACAACTTTTTTACATTTCCTTGTGTTTTTTACAAGAAACAAAAATTGTTATTTGTGAGAAAATTCAAGTATGAAAGGAAATTATTTTTTTTATCATTTTTCCTTTTCATATTAACCAAACACATTAAAATTCTAAAAAAATTCTCTTTCTTACATTTTTTACCATTCTCCCCGCTAAACAAACGAAGCCTAAAATAAATTGGTTTATGTCGTAGTGTCAGTCCAACTGTGACAAGTATAACGATGAATTCTATGGGGTGAGCTTTTTCTCCTAAGAATCCAATGAGTAGAGTAGTTATCGGAGTCAACCTTTCTTTGCCAATATTTAGCTTGTCGAAGACTAGAGCAAATATGACGTATGTTGAACTCCCACTGTCTTTCTTCACAGAATAATTTTCAATTGTTAAGTTGGCCATTAGTGGATCATCATATGGGTGTTGAACACTACCAAAATCCTTCTCTGACAAGGTAATCAGAAGATCCACTCATAGTTTATTCCCTGGATTTACCGAACTCACCTCCAACTAGGATTTTATTCTTCGAACATGGGCCCTCCTGGTGGAGCTACTTTCTCTACCTCCTACAAAACCTCCAGAGATCATTGTCACTTCTCCAACCAGTTGTTGATGTTGGAACTCCACTTGGTAGGATTAAACGTCATTCCTCTCTTATTTTCGATGTTCTATGTACCTCTCGAGATAACTTTTTTGGATCAGATATTCTATTTGGTCCTTTAGGACTTGACAATCTTTTCGTATTATGATCGTAGTCTCTATGAAAATTGAAGTATTTGTCTATGGAGCTCTTGTTGGGATGAGACTTTATCTTCCCAGGCCATTTGAGAATCGTATCATCTTGAATCTGGTAGAGGATCTGCTCGATGGAAGTGTTCAATGGAGTATCTTTTGGAGCCAAGTCATTGAGGGTGCGAGGTCCTAAACAATCCCTTGCACTAACTCTCTCAGAATGATTCTTCTTTGGGCTACTCTCTATTTCCTTCTTGTTTGGTAGATCTCGCCTCCTCTTGTCCTCCCATTGATCTTCCCGCCTGTCCTTTTGGTTTCTACGAGCTAAGAGGGTATCTTCGGTGTTCATGTAACTCTGGGCACTTGCTAAAAGCTCGACCATAGATGAAGGTGGCTCTTTGAAGATGGCAAATAGAAACTAAGAAGACTTCAACCCACTCATGAAGGCTGTCAAGTTGCCTTATCATCGACATTGTTAATTTGTAAGGATTCTGCAATAAAGCAATTGACATACTCTCATAATGTTTCTCCCCTAGCTTGCTTGACATTGAGGAGATAGGTTGGGAGTCATCAATGAGCTCGACCCCCCGGTAAAATGTAAGATAAAAGAAGTACTTAGTTCTCAAAATGTGCTAATGGTATTCGACTTCAGCTTGTTGAACCAGTGTCTCGCAGTTCCCTTGAGTGTGGTGGCAAAATCTTGACATATTATTTAGTTTGGGACATTGTGGAGCATCATTAGAGATCTGTAAGTTTCTAGGTTGTCTAGCGGGTATTTGTTCCATAAAAAATCGTC